GGTCCGGCCGGGCGCCGCCCCGCCCCCACCCCCGCCCCTGCCCGAGGCCGACTCACTTTCTCCACCGTCCAAGCCGCGGGCTGCGAACTTCCCGCCAATCAGAGCCCGGCGCCGCCAGCGCTCCCCGAGCGGCCAATCGGGAGACGGGAGGGGAGGGGCTACCGGGACAGGTGCCGGGCGGGGCGCGCCGGGGTCTCGAGCAATCCATGCGGTGGAGAGGAATCGGGAGTGAGTCGGGTACTGACTCGGTGAACCCTCTCGTGAAGCAGAGGCCTCGAGTGTGGGGGTGCGTAGAGCTGGGAGGAGTGTGGAGCCGGCGGACAGGGTCTCCTAAGCTCGACTCCTGTTCGCAGGCCTCATCCCTCCGCTCACAGTTCTGGGAGCATTTGGTCAGAATTTAGCTCCCTCGCTGGTGCTGAAGCTGGAAGTCCCCCTCGAGTGCCCACTTCCAACGCAAGGGATTGAGGATTCTGGAAGCGCTAATCCTGCATTAGTCCCCGGGTCCTGTACCACGGAGGGTCCCAGGCCCACAATGGGCCTTCCCAAATGATTTGCCCCTTCACAAGGCCTTGTGTTTCAGAGGGTCCAAGCTCACCATCTGCAAAAGCTTGTTTATCAGAAGCCCGGCTCCTCAGGGGGCCCAGGTTCCGTCCCTGACCCACAGACTTCGCTCCTGGGAGAGGTCCCAGCCCCGCCCCTTCCTGCATCCTTGTCTGTCGCCCCTAAAGAGTATCAGACCCCCTTTCCTGCCTGAATCTGTAAAGGCTCCCAAGAGCACCCTCCCACCCCCAGAATTGCAAACTTTATCGTTAGAGAGTTACAATTCCCTACCTTCTAAAGGATCTCACCATTAGGAGCCCCAAGCTCCACCATTGTGGCCCTAAGGACACAAGGTACCTTAGACCCCATTCACATCTTTAGTAGGTTCCAGGCTCCAAGTCCTGCTCACAGCCTCCAAACTCACAAGGTCTCAAGCCAGCTCCTTCCCTTTTTATAAATTCAAGGCCCCACCTTCTTTCCTCCAAATTACAAATTACATTGTTCCTAGAGCTTCAGATTCCTCTTCCTAGCCACCCCTTTTTTCTGAGTTACAGGCCGACGCCTTCCCACAGACAACTGGGACGCAGCCCCAACACTTAGGATCCAAAGCCCCACTCCTTTCATGTTTGCGTGGCTTCTGGGGTTTCCAGGCCCCACTCTCACACAAGTTTGACTCTTCAGTTCTGTAGAGTTAGTCCCGCCCCCAGTGGATCCCAGGCTCCACCCACTCACGGTAAGAAGCAACAACGCCCTGACGACAGGGCACCCCACTGTGAACAGCAACTGATCCAGCTTCACTCCCATCCCCCACTTCTCCTCCTTCTTCCAATGGAAGGTGTGCGGGATGGACAGGGGACCCTCTCATCTCCCCTTACAATGAGACACACGCGCTGAGTCACACAGCCACACTCACACTGTTACTGCCACCTACAGCAGTCCATGCCTCCATTTCACACTGACACCTAGAAATCTGGGTCCACCCACTGTCCAGGGATACACAGCCCCCTGGAGCACCGACGACGGCATTCTCGCCCCATTCACGGCCATTCGTGGGCTGTCCCAGCATGATCATGGAATGCCCAGCTCTGCCCACTGAATGTGTTCCCTGTACCTGTCTTTGAGTCACCCCCAAGATCTGTGCTCACATGGCCCTGAGGGACAACGTGTCCCTGCCCCCCATCCCCCCTCCCCACCTCCTACCCTGTGGCTGGAGCATTTGCTGGGGGCGCTGCCGAAATTTCTCCCTTCTGCCTGGGATCCAGGGCATCTTCAATGCTCGTTGCTAGGCAACAACCTCTGGCTCACCACTGCGACTTCCGGGGATGGCGTTGGCTTCCCCTCCCCCCAGAATTTGGAGTCCCCACTTCCCTCCCTATCAGTGACATGATTCCCCAGGGGTAGTGTCTGTCATCCCTTGTATCTGATCTGATCTCAACCTATCAGAATCCCTCAGAGTTCTAGACCCCTGGCATTCCAGAAGCTTCCCCCCACCTTGTGTGTTCCCATATGCCACTGTTTTATTCCTAGTATTAAAACAAAACAAAACCCCTCTTCACTGTTCTAGGTTTGCTGACATTCCAGCTCTCTCTCTTCCTCTATTCTAGAATCGGTTATTTTCCAGGTCTTTTGTTAGAAACATCTACAGTCTGGATTTTCTGATATGCAAGGGAGAAACCTAATATCATTAATTCTCTAGCACTTCCAGATCCCTAATATTCTAGATACCTCTCCACTATGTTTCAGAAGCTCTCACATTCCAGAAACTGGAATTCTAGAATTAGCATATTCTAAAATCCCTTGCTCCTAGTCTGGTCCACTCTGTCTCCTCTTCATTGGCCCAAGGAATAGATGCAGAAAACCTCCCTGAGGAAGCACCATAGGAAAAGGCATCATTAGAGAAAAAAATTCCACGAATGTCGGGCTGGAGTGAGCTGAAGCTGTCCCACACACCATCTCTGGTGTGGGCAGGAAAGGGACAAGAGACGGGGTAGCCAGGATCCTGGGCAAGGTGTTTGCAGCGGCAAGGTGTTGGGCACATGTGTTAAGGATGCAACAAGCACTTCGCCAGCACCTGTGCTCCTGCCTACCTGTAGCATTTGCCCTGCCTGAGGGAACAGTTCCCTGGTGCTCCTCTCAGGAACTCCTCCTCCACTTTGTCCCCACGGGACTGACCTCACCACCTGGCCTGTGAGGGCACATGACCCAGGCCGGAAAAATGGAAGACGTTCATCACAGTGGCCACAGCGACTGACTCAGGAATGGCCATCTGAGTCAGCTCAAGCCAATAGGAATCAGTCCTGTGACTTTTGCTGCTGCTAAAGAGAAAAACGTTGCCAAGGAGCTACCTGGAGTCATCCTGCCACAGAGAGAGGAAAACTTGACCAAAAATTATACATTCCAGAAGAAAGCAAAGCCAAGAGATGGAAAGACATTCTGGGTGAGTGTTTGAACCCCTGGATCCAGAGAGACAGATGTTCCTGAATCTACCACCAGGGACCTGGTTGGGCCCCACATCTCCCTCACCCCTTCTGTGGGGATCCCGAACCCACTAAGAATGCAAACAAGGTGTTGGCAGTGAGGATTTTATTGGGGAGGGAGACTTTGGCTTCCAGAAAAGGGGGAAGGTGGGGGCCGAGTAACAATGATCACTCCAAGGAGGCCCTGGCCCTGAACCCAAGGCTCTGACAGGAGGCAGGGAGGCACCTGAGTTCCCTAGGACCAGGGTGTTTAAAGGCACAATGGCAGTTGTGTTTAAAAGGAAGTTTCATTGAGCTTCACCCTGGGGGGTGTAAGTGGAGCCTCAAGACCTGTGGGGGGCCGGGGGGCTGGTGTTGGTGGTCGTCGGGGCTCCGGCCCGCTCCGCACCAGTTCCTGGCAGCGTTCCACGAAGCTGCCTCCCCCACGGCGCTGGGCCTCAGCCTGCAGGGAGCTTGGGCTCCCATGGCGGCCAGACAGGGAGATGCTGCTGGATGCTGAGTGGAGACTGAGGGGGTGGGGAAGGTCACTGTAGGTCAGCATGGGGCACATGGGCCACCTCCCCTCCCAAGGCCCCCATGCTCTCCTCTCTACCCACTGCACAGAAGGGGAAGCGGAGTCTTGGCTACCTGGTGAGAGAGATGCGGGGTGAGGGGCTGGGGAGAGAGCCCCGTGAAGAAGCCAGTGGGGCCAGCTCGCACTGTTCTAGCTGTTCCATCAGCTCTTCCTCTGTCAGGCCACCTGCTGAGGGGCAAGGAAGTGGAGTCAGGGGGCAAGATAGGGAACACAGGGCAAGGGACAGAGGTCATAGTGTAAGCATCAAGGGTTGGGACAGGTGAAAGGATGCAGAGATCAATGGACAGGGATCAGAGGCTAAGAGACAGGGGCTGAAAAGCAACGGCAAGGAGGGCTTGGAAGGGCAGAGAAAAAAGGTCGATGGAGAAGGAAAGGGCTCAGAGGGCAAGGCCTTGAGAAGAGAGATCATGGTGACATAGGTTGTGGATAGGGGTTCTGAGCAAATCCATGGGGCTTGGGAAGGGATTGAGGTGGTGTAGGGAGTACCAGGGGCCTGGCCAAGGCCGTCCATGGCGGTGGTCAGGTCCCACATGGCCAGGCTGCCATTGGCCTGGCCCGTAAGCAGGTAGCGCCGGGGCCGAGAGCCAAGCCGCCGGGAGCCTTCACACTCTAGCACTGTGAAGGCAGTTGTGGGTGAGCCATCCACCGAGCGCACAGAGCACACCCTAAGGGGTGCAAGAGGGTGAGAGGGACACCCCAGTCACGCCAAGGCCCAGCATGGTCCCTCTTATCCCATACCCTTCCTGGGTCATAGTCCCTACCATTATGACTTCACTTTCTGCACCTCCAATGATCACCCCCAATCCTTATCCATTCCCCCTCTACTTATGTCTTGAGTTCCAGCCCCAGGGGTCCAGTAGCCTCTTGGACATCCCTGGCCTCCAATTGGGCCTCAGGATCCTCCCCAAATCTGCCATTCTTCCCTGTTCCCATCTCAGAGAAGGCCTGAGTCTCATCCAGGTGCTTCCCTGACCTATCAGCCTCTTGAATGTCTCTCCCAAGGATCCCTGTGCCCATCTCCCACCAGACACCTGTCCCACCTCCTCCCTGCGTTCTTGTGTACTGTCCAACCTCCACTGCATCCCCTCACAGTGGCCACAGCTCCCCAGTGCACTCAGAACCAAGTCTCAGCTCTTCCACATGACTGACAAGGCCCTGCCCATCTCTGCAGCACACCCCCCGCCACCTCAGGTTCTATGCTCCAGCCAGAGAAACCCCATGCACTTCACTCATAACCCTATTTGACCTGTCCCAACCTTTGCACATGCTTTTCCCTCAGCTAGGTGCACCCTGTTCCCTCATTTCTTCTCCGCATTCCTATTTATCCCTCAGGTGTCTGCTCAGAGTCCCCTCGATGAGAAAACTCTCCCAGGCCACTTCCCAGGCTGAAGCAAGCACCCTCTCTGGGCTCCTACGGTTTCCTGTGCCTCCCCATCCCATCCCTGACCCCTCTGCCTGTGCCTCCCCATCCCATCCCTGACCCCTCTGCCTGTGCCTCCCCCATCCCATCCTGACCCCTCTGCCTGGGCCTCCCCC